TGGCTGCGCGTCATTTAAGCATTTTAAACCTAACGAAAAATGTTCGACATCGCGGCACCGTCATTTTAATTTACGTTTTTTTTTACACCAAAACAGATCTATCTACCTTTTCCTTAAATGTCTGTCTCTCTGTCTCTCTCTCTCTCTCTCTCTCTCTCTCTCTCTCTCTCTCTCTCTCTCTCTCTCTCTCTCTCTCGTCGCGATTTTTTTTTTGCAAAAGTAAATTCGCACATACTTGCTCCGCGGGACGTTGATCTTTGTAAAACTAATATGCCCGGGTCCTATTGCGAGATTTTATCTAACATTTATATTTCCCGTGGGATTCCGCCGACGTCTAAAATAGGTGCACATTGATCGTTTATAATCATAAAGTGGCGGTTGCAGAGTGAGATTTAAACTTACCCCGGAGAATGGCCAAAGTTCAAGATTGCCATTTAAATTTGCCGAAAAGCCGGGGATACTTTATGGCGGTCTGCGCTGGACGCCTCCGATTATGCCAACTCGCGTGCGAATAACATACCAAAGCCGCGGATAAAGTCGCTCGGCGGTGTTCACATTGTGTCTCGAAAAGATAAGGATATCACAGTTTTACGGGGGAACGTGATTATATTCGCCGCTGAACGATTTCGCCTCTGTCTTCGTTTGGTTCTCCTCGCGGGGACGCCATTGCAGGCACATAAATTGCAATTTCAGGCGAATAAACATCCTCTCAAACATCCTCCGCGCCAATCGTATCGCTTTCGCGTTTATACTCGGCTCGATAGCTGATCTAATATCGCGCAGTCGTCTCGGTACAAACGCGGGCTTCTCCCGACAGAACGAAGCGACAATCACTAAAGGTAATTCTTCTCGGATTTTGAACAAATATGGACGATCGCGTTTTGCAGAAATTACTTACCGATTATTTCGCAGAAACTATTTTCAGCTTTAAATAGTCGTTTTATTTATAGGCGCTGGGCAAGAAATTATTAACCTTCTACCTAAACCGGAATTAAGTTTTAATCGATACACTCGCGGAGGGAAAAGGGGCAATAAAATCATCCGGTTTAAGAACTTAACGCGTTCAGTCTCGTAATTACTGAGTTAAAACGAAATTGCAGATACTTGATAAATTAATTTCACAAAAGTTGAACAAACACGCATTTCTTTGCAGGCAGACGCGGCAATTAGCGATTTAACGCTGCAATATTTTTAAATCCCCCGTCATTGCCCCGCTAAATATTCTCATCCGGCATGCACTCCGCGAGAATAATCGCTCAGCCTCGTTCCGCGAACGCGTCGAGACACCGAAATAACTTCATCAATTATAAACGTGGAATGCAAATCGCTTAATGATGAGCGGTTCGCGGGGCGAGTCTTTTTAAATCCGAGAGAACCAGGTCCGTGAAATTCGGCGATCCATGAGCCGCAAAATGAAGTCGGGCCGCGAGGAGAAAGATCACGCGAGGAGGACGCCGAGGGGGAGGGAACAGTTGAAGGAGCTGGAAAACGGGCGCCGCTGGATAACGGCGTCGGGGAAAAGTTTTAAATTGTGCCGGGAAAGGCGGGCGATTAGTGGATTATAAACATACTGGAAACTTCTGATGGGATCAGCCTGCCCGAGTAAAGCTGGCAGAAGCTCGGCCAGCTGCCGAATGGATCGTATAACCTCGGGGAAACATCCCTCCGCAGGACGCCTTCGGCGACGTTAATGAGGCCATTATCGCATCTAATCGCGCTCTTAAGAAGGTTTCGTAAAATTATTCCCAAGTAACAAAAAAAAATCGCACAGCTACACGGAGAGACCGATATGTTTACCACATGTCTAATTAGGGTATTGGCGCAACCCCGATAAATAGTAACATTTGGGACAGCTGTATCTATGGTTGTGTCATACCCACATTGGTATGATAAGTAGTGGAGACAGCTACGTGCGTTTTGCGCAGCAAACTTAGGGCCTGAGCAGAATGGCTGTCTTGTACTCTTAAAACATAAGACAGTTATTGTGCGTTACCTCAAGGCAACGGCTGGAAACGTAAAACATTGTCTTAAGGTTGTCTTAAGAGTATAAGACAGCCATTCTGCTCAGGCCCTTATATCCGTATTCATAGTCGTTCCTCAATTCTCAAGGTTAGTCTGTCTTTGTCTCGCTACTACGTTTTACCATACGCGAGACAAAGACAAACTACCCTTGAGAATTGAGGAACGACTATGAATACGGATATTAGTGAGTGCTGCAACACAAAACAATGTAGAGGCCCCTACTACTTTATACGGCAGCATTTTAATTTTCGTTATTTTCGCCTAAGCCGGTCCTTTCCCGCGCGCGTACGAATATTCGTATCCTCCCCAAACATCTGTAATATGCGTTTCATGTTGCGCTAATAATATTAATGAGTATCGCAATTTAGTTGAAGAAGCAAATTGTGTAATTTTGTGGTGCGACGTGACAGGTGTTTCGCGCGAGAACGACACTTGGACGAATGTCATCGATGGCGCGGACTCACTTTCGATACGCGCGCGTCGATAACAGTGATATATCCGTGATCAGCGCAATTATTGCTTCGAATTGCATTAATATCGTCACGTGTTGCATCACGTGAACAACGGCATAACAATGAAATAAAATACGCGTTCGTTAGCCAGTGTTTCGTAATCAAGCAAGATTTCTGTATCAGCATAGGGATTATATCCTTTGTTTATCAAATGAGCAGTTATGCGCGCGAGCAACCTGCCAAATGAATTATTTAGCTACGCACGAATAAATGTATATAAGCGCCCGGTTCGCAGTTTAATATTACGTCGTCGCGTGAGCAATTTTAAACGCAAGCGGCTTTAACGATTATTGAAACATTTAATATAGCAGCATTGATAAAATTCGACCAAATATATTACGCATCTCAACTTGTTACGATAAAAAATTTGATAGTAACTCGGTATCCGAATGAAAGAGAGACACTTTTTTACAGTACATAAAATTGATGGAAAATACCTAATGCGGCGTCAAAATATAATCAAGTGTATTTAATTAACTGAATATGAACTGAAATGTTTAACTAATGAAAACAGGATTCTTTATTATTAAAATATCATCTGAAATATAATCAATATTATTTTCTACCGGATTTACGTTCACTTAAAACTCGATTATTTCGAAGGAACGGTTTATTGTCGAGGTGGCAGAGGCGGTTCTCTTAAAAAAATATAAAATCTATATAGACTCACGTTACGCCGTGTCGCCAACTTGCTCGCTTCCACCTGGGAGAAACACACTCCCGGGGTAGGATCGTTTCTTTGCGCGCAATGGGAATGTCTCGCTCGTAAACGAGCAAATGTAGAGAGAAAAATACTCGAGCCACCTCGAGCTCGGCGAGGGTATTCGATCCGAGAGTCTTCAGCTTCAAACGGCAAAGTCTCTTGCCGAATTATCCGCGTCATCAACCGCGGTAAGAAAAATTTTCTACCGTATAAACCGCGCCGAGCCAACGTGCAAATCTCGACTGTGAGCACAATGAAAAAGAAAATGTACTTTATAGATTGCAATTAACTCGTGTCGTAATTTTTTCCTCATTGTTGTCCTATTTGTGTAAATAATATCGCGCACAAAAGATATATTTCAACAATTGCGTTTAACAAAATCTCTCAACGCTCAATTAATTAGTGTACTAATTAATTGAACGTTCGATCACCGAATCCCATTCAATTACGGAATACAAAAGTCTTTACGCTTTCCTCGAATTCACAATACCCTTACGCGAGAAAGAAAGCCCTGTTTACGGACGTCGGTTCCCTTTTAGATATTCCGCAACGTGACTCGATTACGTTTCGCATGGTAGAAACGTCCTGCTCGTAGATAGGCAGATGCGGGATGCAAAGTTGCTTGCGCAACCCTCTCTCCGCCTGCCTCCTCCACGGCCGCGAAAAGAACGGTGCTCGAAACAAAATCCATTGTTTCCAGTCGCGGAGCATCGAGGCCGCCTCCTGCCCTCGAGTGTGCTCTAACAGGCAACCCAGCGATTAAGCCGGGAAGTGTCTCGAACGCCCACTTGAACGCGACGCGAATGACGAATCGGGGGTCTTCGCCCCCGACGATTCTCGCCGCGTCTTTAATGTAACATCGGGCCCGCAGTCGCTGAATTAGGGCGCCTACCACCGGAGCATCTCGAGCACGGCAGAGAGTCTCGAAAGAACAAAGTTCGAAGGGCCACCTTAAAAGTGTTATTTCCCTAGAAGGAAGTTTCGTAATCGAGAACGAACGCGACGCTGAGTGTGTAAATAAAAAATGAAGCAGTGCAAGTCCGCGAGTTTCGAGCGCATAATACGTGCGTTACGCGCGAACAGCAATTTCTTTTTTTATGTCACGGGCGTGGCTTCTAAAAGAAAGGATTTCTTCATTTATCCGTACAACATGCTCTGCCCAGGCGGAACGATTTAACGTAGAAGGATTTTATGTACTACACGCGTGGAACAGATCATTTTCAAGTCGGTTCCTGACCTCCCGGACCGCTCTTATCCGTTTCGGGGGATAAACCCGACGTGGGATCGTACGCGGACCGCAGTGAATCGGGACGACACGACCCGGCAGGTGGTCCCCGGGCTGTTTCGCCCCTTTCGGATCTTAATAAATTATCGGCCGGCCCCCGTGCGTCGACCGCGAGCCGCTCGCGCCTATCGGCTCGCGCATTAATCACTCGACATACACACATAACGGGAAGGCCGGCCAGAGCGCGGCACCGGCCGGCGGCTCGTCGCCGCCGATAATCGGCCGCGCCACCGACAAGCCGGAATTCGAATTTCGAGTACGACCTCTCGAATATCATTGCGATATCGATTCCCCGTGAAATCAGGCCGGCAAAAAGAGACTGCAGCTCGCGGTGGCGTCAACAGGCGCGATATGGCTCCTGCCCACTGGACGCGGTAACGTTGCCGCGTCCAGTGAGCAAGAGCCATTAGAGTCTCGATCTCGCGACGCGTGCAAATGGCTCGGTCTAACGCGAGGATCATATCAAATGTGTACTTACGTTTCGTGGCACGATTGGCCAAATCTCGTAACCTGATTGTCCAAACTTCGTGGGATGACACTTTGTGTAACACCTCGGTATTAATCGCACGCGACAAGAAAGGAAACACGAAAACTATACGATTGCACAAAGTTACTATTTACACTCGGTATTCCTTGTAAATTTATCCGACGGTACGAATTTTAATCAACAGAAATGGCCGACGTATAAATTTAAACGATCGATGAGTTAATATTACAATATAATGAAGCACGGATAAGATTAAAATTGATATTTAATTCTTCAATTAAACGTATCGCGATGAAATTCGACTCAAAGTTCTGCATTCTGACCAACATTTGTATGATTCCGTTAATAAAAGAAACATTTCAAGATTATACATTTCCGTGAATAAACGAAAAACTTGAATATTATACATTTTAACATCGACACCGTACAATAAACGTAACTGAATTAACGATTAATCGAGACACAATCGTCCGAAAGTAATTAAAAATTCAATGTCTCACGTGTATTTTCATTTACAAATTCCGTAAAAAATGTATGAACTAGTATGTATTAATAAATCATCGATAATTGCCAGTTAAAGCACTCGATCCAATATTTCAAGTATTATTTCGCGTTTTCAACCCAGAAAAAGCCAACAAATTATACTCGAAGCGACGAAAGACTCACTGCTATGATACGCGATGTGTCCGATTTATACGAGCACCGTTTAAAGAAGTAATTATCGTTCGTAATTATCGCAAGAAGTGATTTCAAGTTAGCTAACGCTTTGATTCTTCGATGTATAGATCTTATGTGCGAACCGCGCGAGATATCTGGCTTGCCGGTTAACCGAGTATCGATGGCAAGTCGCGGGGATTCAGCGATCGCGCGATGATATCACGGATTATTCGCAGAGAGCGATCGCGGTTTCTTCCCGCACTTACTTCCGCGAACGCGTATCAAGAGAGAACGATACGATATGCCGAACGGCGCGGGCATAACTGACTCATTCAATTGTCGCCGCGTGAATGAGCCTGCGTGACCTTCGCCGAGCGCCGTAGACCGAGCGTGGATTCCGAGAAATGACGTAGTACTATTAGACCGAGCGGCGTAAACAACTAAAAAACCGAGCGTTGATTCCAAAAGAAATGACGTAGCGCCGTGAACACCCCGGTCGAAAACAGTCTATCAGTTAGCGCGATTCAGTCGAGCGAGGCGGGTGTGTTTCGCGTGTCTTCGCGTCGCTCCTCGCGTAACGCGATCATTTCCTGCGAGAATCGCGATCGTCTCGTACGAGAGATACTAACATTTGTCAATCGCGTGTTTAAAAGTGCGCGTATAACATGGAGTTTCCATTTTCGTCGCGTTCGGGAGTGCCGTTTAAATAATCGAACTAAAGACTTTTCAAAGCCCATTTGAGAAACAAGTATTCGTTAAATGCCCGTTCCTGTCGATGGCCACACTTCAGTTTTTCGGGTGTAATACTCGTCGACTCGAAGTGGAGGCGAACTTGACGGAACAAAATACGTATTTTCACATGGGCTTTGCATACGGGAGTGTACAATCGCGCGAACGATCTTTGTGTTTTCGCGAGTGTGCCGGAGGACAGCCTGAGTGGAGGAGGAGGCCTGGAAAAGGCATCGGGTACCGGCGGAGCAACTTTACGGTAAATATTTTTTCTTTTGTGTAAAATTTATCCTCTCTTCAGTTCATTTTTCAATCGTTTTATGTCATATTTCTGTAATTTCGAGATAATAATTAGAGAACAAGAATAATTTAAAATTTTCTAAAAGTTTATTCTCGTGAAGATCTTGTGCGGAAAATCTTTTGTGCGTTAATCATTTAAATATCCAACCAATTAAAACGTTTAATACGCATAAGAATTATTTATATTTTACAATATTAATTTCCTTCAACACTGTTTTTATAAATTTTATATTTTTATGTTACAGAGTCAACATAGTTAACTCCGCTGCTGCGCATCGGGTGGTAAGTCGGAAACTTGTTTACTAAGGCAACGAATCTACATGTAGATTGTAGATTGTAGATCGTAGATCGTAGATTAGTGTATCTCGTAGATCCGTTGCCTGAAGAAGGGATAGATTTGCAACATACTCGTAATTTCATATTTATTTTAAATATATTTAATTTATTGAAATGAAGTGATCGCGAGTTAATCTCTTGTAGCCTATCCATTTTTCATTAATAAATTTATATATAAAATAAAATAATATGACGTGAGATTCTAATATTTTCTCGAGAACGCTGAAACTTTCACTACTTTCACACATTATTTGAGATTATTAATTAACCAGAATATTCAATTGTCCGTTTATCTGTCGTACGGAAAGTTTATTTTCTCTGAATTTCACGTCAATTATTCTGTATGTGTATCTCGCGCCACTTTCAAGATGCGTCTTGCATGAATACATGCATACACCCACAGAAAAAATTGCCGAATCCAATGCTATTACACTTGAATGTATCATAAAATAGAATCGATATAGTGCCAATCATATTTATTATAGAGAGAAAGGAATATTCTAATCTTAAATGAAAAATTCTAAAATCTAGAATCAAATGATAGTATGTATTCGTCTTTTGTCGAATGTCGTGGTTCCAACTTCGTGCGTTGTAAGATGCAGGGAAAATTTATTCTAAACGCAAGAATATACAGGGTGTCCTAAAACCACCGGAGGTCCTCTTAATGACAGATTCCTTAGAACATTTCCAGACGAAAATCCTAATACAAAAGTGTCGAGGCTATAATAGTTTTTAAATTAGAAGCGATTATTTTCCACAAATGATAGGGCTGAAATTTCGCGCGCTCAGGAACGGCGAAATGACAAGTGATATAAGTGCTCCTATGAATATCGTTCTTTTTATATCACTTGT